GACGAAATTCGAATGCGATCAACAAATTACAAAGCAGGTGTGCTGACAAATGGACTGTCATTAATACACACATATTTACATATCAAAAGCTGACATTACTGTTCTCAAGCTTAAGAATTAAATTTGTTTCTTTGGTAAGTGTATCACTTTCTTGTTGTTTTAATTCGCTTTATTCGTACAGAAAAACACGTCATGTTGTTTTCGAATACAAATGGTTCTGTTTGTAGCTTATAAACACGCCACAATCATTATCCTTAAGATATCACCTGCTTACTGTGCTCTTCAGGCATACTCCAAGGTTACATTGTTATGCAGCAACAACAGAATTCATTTCCTCATTTTATACGTATCCTTACCTACATCTTAAAGCCATAGCATGAGCTAGCAGCATAGCAGTTTCTATTTATTAGTCACTCTGAGTACACGAAGTCCTTGGGATCTGAATTTAGTTTCTTCCTCCAGCCAGAACTTGCAGTAGATTCTTTTACATGTTTTAGTCACCAGGTTACTTAGGCCATTTCAAGATTACATAACTTTTAATAACGGTGGGTGTGGTGATGATTTTACTATAGCAGGCTTGTGTGAAGGGACATAATTCCAGCTAGAATTCTTGAGTTGGTAACCTCCCAAAATCAAAGGAGGAATAGTGATCACCTTTATTCCAAGTGTTTCATATCACTTGTATTAATATCATATGATGACCAGGCTATGGGATAGATGATGGGATTCATTCCTGGCAGAAAACTGTTATCTTCACCATAATGTCTGGACTGGCTCTAGGGTCCATCTTGCCAGTCTGGCAGAGTCCAGGGTTCTTTCCTCAAGAGCGAATTAGCCAGTGTGAAGCCAAACCACTCAACTTCGTCTAATGATGATGAAGAACATGTGCACACATACTGCCACACTCCGATACATATGCATGGCGTCGTGCTTAGTTATGCAAGAGGGGCAACTTTACATTTAAAACAATAAAATAAAATTGTTTAAAATTTGCATTAAAATAAACCCCAAATATATTTCTGTAAATTCAGATCATCTTCAGGATTACATTCATATTGAAGATTTCTGTCTTCTGGGTGTGAAAACCTCAAATCTTACATTCATATTGTTAACAACATAATATTGAAGTTTCAACAGAATATGTCAAAAGACTTGAAAGTCATTTAGACGTTAAAAATAAATTTAAATTGCAGTGCTGGCATTTAAATGCCTACCTGCTCTGCCTGAATTGAACATTTATGATTGAAATGAAGCTATTTTTGTGACATATGTTCATATAAATGTTTATTTGCCAAAACATGTTATGAGAATCACCAGACAGTTCCTTGAATGTTCAGAGATTAATATTCTACCACCCCTTGCTGGAGACAAATTGAAACAAAGTCTGGGTTACGTGAAAAGTGATTGTGAATCTACGTCAACATTGCACAGAATGGATGCGATCTTCTCTCATGAGCCATATTTGATATTCTAACACAGGAAGTTCAGGGAATGAAACACACACATAATACAAATTCTACACATCAAGTTTAATCAAAAATATGTCAAAAGACACATATAAGGGTTCATTTATGACCCTTACGTGGAAAATTAGAACAAACCAAACTAAACCAAAATCAGAAAGGCTAAACAAAATCTGGCATATTTCCACTATACTAAGTTTGATCAAAACAGGCCAGGTACTTTAGGTTCCATTATTTGCAAACAAACAGGACAGACATTACCAGACAACTGGTTTTCAATAAACATTTACACATTACTTTCCTCCCCATCATTATTTCTGCCATATTACACATAACCATACCTTCAACGGGAAGAATATTCTGGCCCGAGCGAGGAAAGAAGTTGGAACATCCTGATCTAAGACAATTTATCTGGGATCCAGTAATAGTTTTTCCCTTGAAACAAACTGATTGCCATATGACTATCTACTGCTGAGATCTAGAATGAGCGGAGGTTTACCTCCATACTGTCTACATGCTTCCATGATGTCCTTTGACACAGGCAACCTCACTTTATTACTGACAAAAGAATCCTTGCTTGGCTGAAGTATTTAGTGATTATAATATTAATTTTGCCTCAGAATTAATATATAATGACTGGCCTCGCACAACTGCATGTACCTTAAAAAGTTACACTAGATCCTCTTACTAAGCAAGTACTCTATAGAAATTATAGTAAATTAAACAAAACCAGTCATTTTAAATTTCCTGTAAAACAGTTTTTGTACACAGAAAATAACTGAATCATGGGGAAGTTTCAGAATCCTATATACTATTCTGTATTAAGCAAATGAAACAGAACTTAAACAATGACTTCCCTTCTAATTCTTCATACATCAAAATATGTGCCTGGAAATCCATATATTTGTTTCAAATTATCAAATATTTTCAATTCTTAGATAAAACTAACAATGTATTTTGAATGGTAATTTAGCAACTACAGTTTCATGTAAGAAACCATTTTTTTCTACAATCATAATGTGTATAAAACTAGGCAATTTAAATCTGTAGTGCATTGCTTCTTTATACCACGTCTGACCACCTATAATCACAAATATACTCCCCATTGGCTCAGGGCAGGCTACACCTTTCACTTCCCTGCCTATAAATCCAACTCCTCACACCCTATTGGCATATTCATCGCCCTGATGACGGAGGCAGTATGACCTCTGAAACGTTGGTTAACATCGACCAGACTACACAGCGCAATAACCCAGAAGACAGAAATCTTCATATTCACCGCTGTGAGAACCTCAAGTCTTACATACTCCAATTATATTTTAATTTGAAACAAAACAAATTATATTACAAGTTATGAAAGTGTTTGAAATACATCTGGCATGCATACTGTTAATATTCTTAACTCCTTATATACTTCACATTGTATCTTCTGAGAAAGATTCTTTAGCTTCCATTCAATGTCTTTCAATACAAGGGAATAAAAGTTTTGAACCGGTAACATTCTCAAGAAGAAAGCTCTATACACAATCCAGCAAACAGTGTTGAAGTCTAGTGTTGAACCTGAAACAAATAATTCTCTATGCTGTATAGGTTACAAATTAAAATAACACTACAATAAGCATACACCATGACAAAGCACGTATAGATGTCGACAAACAAAAAGCAACAGAAATGAGGTGTGTTTCATAGTGGGGGAAGTAATGAATTAGTCAAAAAAGAAAAAAGATATTAGCAAAACTGATGGGAAAACAAATTTCTTCAGGCTATTTTTTTATAGGGGTGGGTTGAGGGAATAACTCTATAACTAGTGGCAACACTTAGGTCTTCCAGTATGACTCACAAAAATTTCTGTCTATTATGAATTCTGAAATGAAGAATACCTAAACAGTTGAAATTATTATTATATTCAGATTACTTATCGCCCTGATGATGGAGGAAGCAAGGACCTCTGAAACGCCGGTAAACTACTACCAGACTACACGGCGCAACAACACAGAAGACACCAATCTTCAGGCTCACTGCTGTGAAAACCTCAAATCCTACTACCTAAACATTAGCTCTATCGATTGGACCTAACAGAGTAGGTATTCCTGAAGACGGAGATAGAGTCCCATCTCCGAAACGTAGTTAATTTATATTATTTTATTAGACGATGTAAAACATTCAATAAACTTTTTATTTTAAAAACGCCCCATCGCCACAAACTTTTAGATTTAAGTGTACCAGAGGAATCTACAAATTCTTCTGAGTTAACTAAAGGGTTCAAAATAGTTACACTTTGGTGGCAATAAGGAAGATACTTCTTTGCAACACTGTGATAATATTCTCATTCTACGCAATTTGTTCCTTAAACATAAAATTATACCAACTTCTTACTTTATGAGCTTTGGAATTCTTTTAAATCTGCAAATTATACCACAAAACAGTCAGAATCATGCAAAATGCTATGATCAAAGACATGATCTGTGATAATATTAAATTTAAGTGTGAAGTCTGCATCTTGTTTTAGATTAACAGAGGTTTCTCTTTGAGAAACTCTTTTGTCACGTTACCTTTGCAATGTTTACTCCTAATTCTCAGGACATGGTATCCAATTTTCCGAGCAGATGTACACACTGTCTGGGCTAGAAACTTCTGATTCAGATTCTTTAGATCAAAGCAATTTTTAACAATGCTGTGAAATCTGAAGGCCTGCAGAAGAGCAGCATGAAATATGTTTGTGAGAACTATTTCCCTTGAATTGTACAATTCATTAAGAGTAAGTACATTCAGTTTCAATGTAGACAACATTGCCATCTTCTTCTCGAGAAATCTGTAAGGATAGGATAATTTTTTTTAAAAGATACCCAACAATGGCAATCATTTGTTACTTTTGCCACTACTTAATAATAATAATAATAATAATAATAATAACAACAACAACAACAACAACAACAACAACCACCACAATGATGACAATAGCAACAACAACAGTATTAAGGCCACATAAAAATATTTTTTAGTTATTTTTTCTCACTTATAGGCATATTTTCTGAAATGAAACAATATTCAAGGGACTGATAGGGAGCTCATGGTCATTCTGGTATAGTATCTATGATACACTTGGTCAAAGGATTTTGTTTGCATTTTATGATGAGAACTGGTTTTTAAATAGAAATGTTAAGTACTGCTTTTGAACTGCTTCACTTGAAAATATTGAAGATTTCAGTATGCTTCTGTTTATCATTTCAAATATCAAAGTTTGTATTTGGGTTCATGTATTTTAACCGCTTTCTTGTTCCCATGTAGGCAATACTGTGGTTTTGCTTTATGATAGCTAGACACATGGGGACATTACCCACTGTGTTCCTTTTAATGATGCTTAGCATACCATAGCTACTGTATTAAATATGTTGCCCATTTCACTGACATCCAGAATAATAGCAGTATTAATTTTGAGTTCATTTTATGGTGTTCAGTAAGAGGAGCTGAATTCTAAGTCAAAAATTGACTTAAGCCCTTGTTATTGAAAACCAAGGACAGAAAATCTGAAAATTGAAATGCTACAACAGGTGTCAGTAAAATAAAAGATGCAGTGATTTGGACATGTTACAAATGGCTTCCTATAAGAACATCACAAATGATATCACATATCCTTTGATGGGACCACAGATAAATAGAAAGCCTAAATGAGAGAAAATTAGAGAGTAACAAGTACAAAGAAAACTGGAGAAAGTCTTGTTAGGAGACATGTCTTGGTGAAAACATTCTACGTGATTTCATATTATCCTAAATCTTCATGATGATTAAATGTAATGAAACCTTTTGAAGAAATTAATCACAAAAAATATTTTGATGTTGTTGACTGTTCAAGAAGAATTCACTGCATAGTATCTGTACATTTCTCCACTTTATACTCACTTTCCAGGACGTTTCACTTCAGACAGACGCATTGAGTGAGCAATATCTTGATACATGTAGCGAGCATAATCTCCTGTGACATGCAACAGCTTTGTATCCACTACATACCCACAATACCTAAGCTTGAAGCAACCTGAGGCATATTCAGGAGGGACATTTGTTTGTGTCTTGTTGTTCACATAACTGCCATATTCAGGGAAGCCTCTTTCCATCTTTTTCAGAAATCTATGAACATTAACATGATGAGCATTTAATGCAAACTGTAGATGTATCATAAAAAATAAACTTCACTACTGATTCATACTTATGTAAATAACTATAACAACAATGTCTAAAAAATGTATACTGTAATAATGTAAAAAAGGAGAGACAATTTGGGAAATACAAGCATAGATAGGAGAATAATATTAAAATGCATCTTAAACCGTGTGTGAAGACATGGACTGAATCTCCTGTGAAGATGGTAATATATCTTCAGATTCCATAAAAGTCCAGAACTTACTTTACTAGTTAAGACTATTAGATTCTCAACAAGGATTCTGCTCCGTTGAGTTGGTCAGGTATCAGCTAAACATACATGCACACCCCACTTGTAACAATGAACTTAAATTTTACAAGAGTAGAAATTTTCTTATGCCACTGTTTAATCTTTATTATGTAATGATATAGGGAATTTAAGCCCCTTATGAGTTATACTATATAGGTACAATAAGCTCCAAAAGGATCAAGAGTCCTGTTTAAACTGTAGAAACTCATCAAAAGAATAGAAGGTGTGTGTATTTAGGCTTCTTCTTGATGGTATTTTAAATTTCTCCTTCTTATCCAAAATAGTTTTGGGACTAGGTAGTAGACTTTCATATTAGGCATCTTCATGAAAACATGAAAGGTTAGCAATTAGTCTAAGAATTCTCTTATTCCCTTTGTTAACAATGTGCATAGTTGAATTTCCATAACCAACAGAGAAATGTACTGCATGTTCAGGCATGTTTATAGCCCATTTCAGTGCTTCAATCATTCAGGGTCAATGTTTTAAGTCACTGCATTCATTATGTTTCAATTTCATGATGTCCTATTGTAGAGAACAAGGGCACGTTAAATTCTGTAAGAACACTGGAAAATCAATTATTAAAACTTATAAATACATGCAAACAGCATTTGGAAATACAGTAACGAGGCAAGTAACAAGTTTTAAGCGTCTTTATCATTATAAAGGACAAATGACATCAAAAGTGACAAGCATCTAGGAAGCCATTCAATATTAGAAATGATGAATTAGTATTGCAAGTGTGTAATTTAATACAAAATTATAAAAAACTGACAATTCATTATATGGCTGGAGACTGGAATATCTGACATGAGCAATTTTAATGAAAGATTTTGAAAACAGAAATTCTTCAACCAAATTCACAGCATGAAGCTTCCAGCACTAACAGAAAGTGGAGGAAATGTGTATATGCTGAATAAGCCCACTTTGCAATGGGACCTCCTGTCCCTGTAGGAACAGTATCGTTTCAAAGATTTAATCTCAATACTTTCTTACTGGCATTGGATATCAATTTCACGAGGTCTTTTGGGGGATCACATTCCAATAAATCTTTTATAAATTTGCTTGAATGTCTCCAAATGCCAACAGGGTCTCAATACTTGATAAAACCAACCTGGTACAAATGGTGGAAGAAGACTTGGTAATTGACCTCTGGTGGTGGCGGGGAGGAAACAAAAAAAAATTAACATACCTGACAGCTCTGTCCAGGTCAGTGGTAATGTAAAGGTAATCATCTACAGCTCTAATTAGCATATCCTCATCATTTTGAAATTCTCTTAGCTGTGTTCTCTCCAAATCAGAGTAATACAAATCACACAGTACTGATGATAGGTAGCCTCCTTGCGGTTGTCCACATATCATGATGAATTTTTTATTTCCTTTGCAAATTAAATGATCCTTCAGATTCTCATGTATTGATGACAAAAGACTCTGGCCACTTATACGGTCCTGAAACAAACAAGGATACATATTACAGTAGGAACAAGAACAGATTAAGTTAATAACTGTCATATATCTGTCTCCCATCTAAATCCTAAAGACTGAAATATGAACATACTGTATAAATAATATGAGTAGTACCCATGCCCAAAATAATGTATGCATTTCTTGTCTACCCCATTTCTGCTACATGTTCAACCTCACTAACCATCTTTGACCCTATAACTACACTATGCAAGATTTACAAACAATAAAGTTCCTTATTTTGTAACATCCCCCATTTCTCATCACTTTTCATTCTCACAAACAAATTTATAAACAGGAAAATTCATGTCCTACATATAGTAGCTTCATTTCTAAATGTAGTCTTCTATATTGTATTGCTTCAGCACCACTAGCAAACCCTTTATGTTTCTTGTCTTGATAAATACAGTATCAATTATTTACAATACACTTATAGATTTTGGCCAATGCTGCTCTTACCACTGTGACACCCTCTGCATCAATCCGCTTGCTGTTTCGTGGCACAACAAATGTTGATGGCATGTGATCAAATGCATTCTTGTAGATCCACTGTAATTTTCCTTTCTTTGTAGTCAAAAAACTATACTGCTTCAAGACATACGTCTGACCTGTAAAACAAACAAGTATTATCTTCAATTGCTATGCAGGATGCATACATATACTAAAGTCGTAAATACCATACACTGATTAAATTTTAATAAAGACATAATCAGATTAAAAGAAAATCCTAAAACATTATGAACTCTTTAAACTTATGAATACTGACTGCTGGACAGCTACTGATGGCAATTCCTTCCAGTTAGGACACCAACACATAAGTAAATAACACATCTGAATTGTAATTGGAAGAACCTTGATCAAATTCTGGGGAAAGTCATCCTCAGATGTTTTGTTCCCTCTGTATTGAAACAAGCCAATGTCAATGCCAATTACAACTCATTCACTGATGATTATTTCAAAACTGACCATCACTGCTAATATTCTGAACTGCACTAATTCATAATATTAGCATTACACCTGTCTCCAAAACCTCAATAACAAAAATACATGAAGTTGAACTAAACAAGTAATAAATAAACTGCAAGCATAATGACAAAGTGTGAGATATGCTAACTACATTAAGAAAAATACTCACACATACAGGAAAGGTACAAGCAAGAAGTTGACCACCGCACTTTATCCAGGGCTCAGATTAAAGATATGTGGAACTTTATATTTACCTTAAATAAAAAACATGTGTCAATAAACTTAAAACTGATTACCTGCTGAAATAGTATTTTCCAATATATGACACAGTTTCTGATGACATATCGAACCGTAAGCATCTAAGATGTCAGTATGAACAAAATAAACTTGATGATTATGTTTTTTCCAGTAATCAAACAAGGTACACCACTTTTCATGCAAGCTGTTTACATCTGCTGGCTTAATACTGACTGGATTCGATGCTGCAACCTGGGTCAGGTATAGCTTCGCATTTTTAACACTTGGTGTAATATGATGTCTATCCCTGCAACAAACACTTTAAAACCTTTAACAGTTTGCAAAATGGATATCACACATAGGCTCAGACTTACCACTGATAGCAGACAAACACATTTCATCTGTACTCTGAAATTTCCTTAATAAAAATTACCTTCTGATGACAGTAAAACAAGGAGTTCCAGGAAGACCTGATAATACCTAGTTTCCCACACAGATTTCATACAAATCTTGTGATGTGAATGTTATATTTAAGTTAAGACAAAACACAATTTAGCTTATTGGTTAGCATCATTTCTAATGACATGTTTTCCCTGCAAAGGCAGGCAGGAAGAAAAAAAGCACTACTCCATGTACCAGTGCTTCAAGACCTGAAAAAGGATCAAAGCAATATTGAGTGTTAATTCAAAAACACATTTTTGCCAATTCCAGGCAGCAGAGCACCCCTGATAATATATTAGTTGTGCAGCTCGCTACAAAAAATTTCCTGTTTTATGGGACCCTAAAGGTTCAATACCATATTTACAAGATCTTGCCACTGGGCTCTACCCTGAGCCAAATGAATCTAATCCCCATCCTACACCCTACTTCTTTAAAGCTTATTTTAATACTGTACTTCCTCAATTTAAAGACTCTATCAATTGTAAGCTGCACCCCTTGATTTAGTACTAGGTTTTCAGGAAAACAAAATTCTACATCAGTTCTCAGACATCATCAAACGTAAGATGCACCTCAATTTCAGAAATTTAAAAATGAAAAATAATTATTAAAATTGAAATATAGTATTATCCTTACATTTACAACTTTGTCCCACAAGCTGTATCTAAATATGTGTGAAATGAATCCTGAAAAATAGATAAATCAAATTCCCTCAGTTTCTTTCTTAAAATCATCCTCAACTGTGCTACCTGGTCATTACGACTGGCCTGACACCATTCGTCTTTGGTATGAACCGTAATGCAGATGCCCCTGGAGAGGATTCCTCTGCTGTAAGTTCTGCAACCTTTTCATTGCTGACTACTTCGAGTTTCCTGCTTTTCACCATGTGCAACAGTGTTTTATCTGAAATTGCCTGGAATTCTCGTAGCCTATAAAACACTAATTTGTTGCGTTGCCGTAACCCTTCAGTTACATAGAACTGAGTTCCTAAAATCACCATAACGAACTCCTCAAACAGCCAAAGGATCACCTGAAAAAGAAACACATAATGGAACAAAAAATATCATATAAAGCTAGGTTAAAGTCATCCCATAGTGTACAATATTCCACAGAGCACCTACAGTTATTAAGAAACTCCTTGTTATGAAGCCCAGTAGTTTACCACTCTGATCATATAAACCTGCCACTGTACCATATCCTGATCCAATTAAAAACTGATGAAATTTGAGGTTTTCACTATAGTGACATTTCAGAAGAACAGATCGTCTCCCAATCTATCACAAAGATGGAAGTGATATGTTCCTCTGAAACATCAAAAAACCTACATGACTACACTATGTCATAACCCAAAAGACCACAAATACATTTAAAAAATATTTCTAAGACAAAAAATACATATTATATTAGAAATGCTTTCTCTGTTGTATTCTAATTTTGCCCAAGAGAATCAGGAGGGACTGGAACTAGCTTAATAAAAATAATCAGCTGCTAGTATATGCTGAGAATGTTTATTAGGTGAAAATAGAAATATTATACAGAAAAACACAAACTCTATCAAAATCTGCTAACAATGTTGATCTATAAATAAGTAAAGAAAGACTAGTCATCAAACAACAGGACTGAATCATAATATTAAAACTGTAACAATGCTCTGTTCATATGAGGGATGAATTCATTTACTAGACAATAAAATAATTAACAATTACATGAATTCCAAATTAAACAGCAAACTGAAAAATGTTACTGATAGGAATACTGAAGAAGAAAGGTCCAAATTACAGTAGGTTTTGAAGGAGAGCAAAAAGAGAAGTTTATAAAACCAATAAAATAAAAACCTTAAACTTTCAAACATATCACGGAGTATGCATAGAGTAATAATTCTGGCACAATCACTCTGTTACTGGTTCTAAATTTTCATATAAATACTTCAAGTACAAAAGAATACACAAGCCATAATTATGATAAGACCACTGATGAGGAAGATGAAAACAGAAATATTTTGTCAAAAGATATGAACACATCTGTGAAAAACAGTATATAAAAGAAATAGGGTGTGAGAATGTGAATTGATTCATGTCTCAAGAAAGGACCAATGACAGGTTATTATGAAATGAACCTTTCGGTTCCATAAAAATTTGGTTATTTTTTGACTAGCTTCTGAAGAAGGACTCTACGCTGCATAGTTACTAATTTAACAATAGTATAATGCACTCATACCTTAGCAAAGATGTTCTGTTTCACTGCAGGTTCAGCCACAGACCTAAGCCACGACACATTTGAAGTTTTCAGGCCAGACATCAGACTGCCTAGGCTGAAGTTCTGGAATTTCCCGCTGCGAGTCAACCTAACACACTGCCTCTCGAACATTCTTGCATTCCACTTACTTCCAAAGAGTTCAATGGGCACCACCTTTCTCAGTAATTCTTTGACAAAAGCTAATACCACACTCTGTTCGATTTGCTGTGGTCTTGTTTTGGTTTGCTGACAATTTTGGACTGGCTTCCATTGTAATACTGCTGGGTTTTCTGCCACCTCCAATGACTTTAAACATGCTGCCAATTCAGACATAGAAAACTGTACAACTCCCTCACTTCGTGGTGTTAAAAACAAATTACTAAACTGCTCAATCATATTTTTGATCTGTTCCAATATGTGTTTTCTGTGGCCAATGAGCTGTCTCTTATACCCAGGTTTAATATTCATACCTATACTTTCAAGCTGGCATGAATTAGTGTCCTGCTCTATATCTACACCTTTATTTTTACACTTACTCTTCAAGTGATGAGTTAACAAATATGTATAGGGTGAATGCTTCTTATGTCTTTTCATGAAATCCATTAACAATATCTTCAGAGCTGAAAGATCATCTGTTATCTGTTGTGACACAGAGACATGCATACCAACGTCTTTTAAAAGAATGTGATCCAGGACTTTACATGCACCTTCAAATGTTACAGGTGATTCACTCAAAATATGCTTCCTGGGCCAATATTCATTTGTGGACCGGCTATACATAATTTTCCAATTAGACACCTCTTTCGTTGCCTTGTATCCTACACTGTTATGAGTGCTTACATTCTGCATTGTTTTCTTTTTACTTCTTCTTGTCCTTTTTATAGGTTTCATGTTTTCATCAGCATTTCCTTCACCATGATGAGAATGCTTTTGCTTCCTATGTTCTCTTGATTTCCGTGTCAGTGGGACTGATGGTACACACTCTCCTATTTGCAAATCACCTTCCAGTGTCGCTTCACTTTGCTCCAAGTTGTGAGAAATACTGGAAAATTGTGCTTCTGTCTGAGTATAAATTCCATCTTTTGAAAAAATATTTAATTGCACATTTTTCATTGACATACTTCTATTATGAGATTTGGACTCTGAAGCAAATGCCCGCATAATATTATCATCCCTTCTTTTTTCATGAGCCTTCATTTTGGTTTCTTGCATCAAACAAGACATACTCACTACATTAAGAACAAGCAGGATATGATGCAACTTCCTGACATAAGAGAGTTTTTCAGACCAAAAATAACAAAAATTTAGACCTGTTTAATGTGTTCAATATTCCTCTTCATCTCTTCATAACAAACTGACTTGTTTAGCACAAGAAAAAAGACTCTTCTGATTGCTCATTTAATGCTTTAAACAGCTCATTAATGATTAAACAGATAGATCCAATAGAATTTTGAATACATATTCTTACATGTATGTCTGCATTATTATAGCAACTATAATCTCCTTATACTTCTGACTCTATTATTTCCATTACCAAAAATTCATTCAAAGACTCAAGAATATTCTGTCTTGTAAGGAATTCACATTTCCTGCAAAATAAATTAAATACAAAACAGCATTGGTAAAATGGTTGTTTCTTCCCTTTCTTCGTATGCTTGCCTTTACAGTAGAACTAACTAATAATTTAAAATTTCGCCAATAAATAAATCCAACAAATTAAACTAAAACCGGAATTAAGATCCATAAATAAAGTACCATAAACTTTTATTAGAAAATGTGCGCTACGCTCATCGTATAGATTTGTACATGCATTTGAACGAACGTTTGTATTACGACCAAGACGTAAAACCGTAATTGTTATTCAGCTTAAAACACTTGATGATAAACCCATCTGCGCTCATCACAGTTTACCTTATCGCTCGAGACAAACTCTACAACTTTCATAGAGTTCGAAATACAGAAATGAAAGTTAACCACACAACATACATCCCAGCATGCCTTAATAAATACATTTGAACACAAATTCCCGATAGTGATCAGGCGTATCGTCATGACAGCAGGTACCAACATCATAACTTTTAGCAAGCAAGGTGCTGCAAAAGCAGTAAAACATGGATTATGGAGAGTGCCATAAGACGACACAGATGTAGAAAAAGTCTGCACATCACGGATACTACAGATGCAAGATACATGTTATTTTAACTTTATCTAGGGCTCAATTCTAACTTATAACTTACTGGGATAGACATTTCGTATAAGTGACAGTTCTCCTGGTGTCCAGATTCAGATATTCTTGCTTCATTCGTTCAAATACTGCCATTTGATAGCCGTCATTACCTTTAGCTTTTCTTTCTTCTTTGGTGGTGTACGGTCGGTTTTTGTGCACCTAGTTTTACATGGTCATCTGTGACTTGTACGTAAATTGTGGCGGTAGGTGGTACATGACACATCTGTAGAAGCGCGGGAAGGAGCGAAGTAGACAAACAGTCGAAATCTGAAAGGAAATCAGTATTTAATTTTGAACAATATGGCAAGTACAAAACATCAAACCGATGGCACAATTACTTTGAAGGGATCATCTGATCTTGTTAAGGAATATCTAGGCATGTACAATAAATTTAAGACACGTGAGATATGTTTTGAACTGACCAAAGATCCTAACCTAATACCTAAAGGGCAGTTGAATTTACATAACATACCAGTGTTAATTTGTATTTTTTGTTTTTTATTTAAGATTATGGGATCAACAGTATTCTATATCAGCGTGGTATTTATCCTGAAGAGACATTTGTGCAAGCAGAACATTTTGGTATTACAGTCTTTATGTCAACTGATGAAAAGATTAAGTCATTTCTAAAATCTGTTTTAGATCAAATTCAAGGTTAGTAATGAGTTTGTAACCATTCACTCATGCATTTTACATTAGACTTTTAATTTTCAACTGAATTTTAATTTTTTAGGTTGGCTTTTACAAAAGAAATTGCAGAAGATATCACTTGTAATATCAAATTCAGTTACAAAGGAGGTGCTGGAACGATGGGATTTTAAAGTCCAGTATGAAGGTGATGCAAATGGAAGTGCTGTAGAAAATGGAAGAATTATTGGAAAGAAAGACTTGACAGTTATCCAGAAAGAAATACGTAGTGTTTTGAGACAAATCTCGGGATCTGTAAGCTTTTTACCTCTACTGGACTGTCTGTGTAAGTATAAAGCCTGATAATCTGACTGTATTTCAGAGCCAACTGCTTGAACATAGAATAAAATTTCCACTACCAACAAGTTGCCAAAGTTCTGCACTTCCACTATTACTGTCCTCTGCTGTTACCAAAAAGATAATGCATTACTTACGCAGGTTAAGAACTTTTCTTTCCTCATAATTCCCATCGCTAATGTCTCATATTAAAATTTACATGTATGGGTTGTAAAAGTATCATTTATACTGTTCACTAATTACTGTGTTACAAAATAATGAAGTTAAGTCAGGATAGGTTAGGATGTAAATATTTTATTTAAAACCATAGTTTTTATGTAGATGTAATGAACTCCATTCAAAAGAGCCCTTCTTGAGAAGCTAAATATGGTGTTCAGCTAGTCAAAAATTCCCCATCTTTTATAGTTACTGCTTCTCACAAGCTCACCAGAGTTTCACAACCTGTCACAAATTCATTGTAACAGATCATCAACCAAACAGTAGGAAGAATAGAAATTTATCAAACATTCACATTAGTTTATAATCAGTAGCTTTATTTTTAAAACCCTTGTTAAGTATGATTTGCACTTTAACATTATTATTTTATTTTTTAATTGAAGACACAAAAGCTTTGTACCCGTTACCAACAGCATTCATTGTATATGTGTTTGATTAAATTTTGTATTATCCCTTGTAAAACTGTTCTTAACATATTTCACCGCTAGCTTGACTGTATCTCTACAATTGTGACACTTTCTTTCATTCAGTACATCTCTGTTTTGTACTCCATTATAATGATATGCTACTGCGTTACGAAGAAGAACTTACCTTCCATGAAATATTGTTGAGCTGTTTCTAAAAACTGTCTTGTTAAGATCTTTGCCTTAAGAATTAAGAGAGGAAAACTATTTCTGAAAACCTTGACAGAAGTTAGGTTTTAGTTCTATGCAAAGAAAAGTTTGTTTAACCCATAAAAAAAATCAGATTTTCTTGACAATATTTAGTGATGAAACGTGTGAAAAGACAGATGAAATACATGGCTTACCCAATATTCATTCGATTACATGCTTTGTGCAAAGAATGCATACAAATTATTAAATTATTTTATGTGGGAATGTGTACTTATTACTGGTATTGTGTTGAACTTGTTACAGATTTAACTTTTTAAGTCAAAAGGCTATATTTTCTGCCTTTTAGTTGACTGTGATGTGTGGAGTTTTCGGTATATTCATTTCTTTGTTTCTTCAGGCGCGTTTGACGTTCTGGTCTATACAATACCAGACTGTGAAGTGCCACAAGAGTGGGATGAGACACAACCCGCCTTCATTGCTAATGCACAAGAACTGTCTTTCCGAACATTCTCTACGTCCCTTCATAGAATGGAAACCCATGTAAGTTACAAGGTTGAATGAACTGGAATAGTGCATGGCTGCACAAACATTTTGCACAAGTTTTCAAATCTGTTTATTGTGAAACATGACCATGACTTGTGTTCCATTTATGAGTATGTACAGGCATGTGTATTCATGAGCAAGTT